TGTGGTCTCCAACTCTCTTGGTCTTTGTATCATATGAAAATGAATGAAAGTCTGTGGCTGAGTGAGGATGCAAGAGAGACACTGAACTATGAAAACATATGACATGCTTTACAGAAACACCTGTAAGTGAAGATCAGTCTGTCACTTAAAGTATGAGGAACATTGACGGTGAATATGGTTTAGTAACGAGCACATTAACATCTCTTATTAATTCCCAGCATGCCTCACCCTCTTGTGGAAGAGCTTCTTGATGAAGGGTTTCCAGAAGTGCTCTTTGACCCCCTTGGCCTCCAGCACCAGCCCCTCATGCAGCTCACACAGCTGCTCTATGAAGCAGTACGGACCTGAGGACGGCCTGTAGTCCTTACTGCTGAAGTCCTCAGGTAGACCTGGAGCGGACGAGACAGGGGAGGACTGGTTACCAGGACGACCAGTGACCGGGTGACGGGACGTCGTTCACCCCTGAAACAAACTGACAAGTTTAAAGACTGAATTTTGATTTGATCACTGAGGATGACTCCTGTGAGGTGGGTGAACAGGTACAGGCGAGTCCCAGCAGGTGGTTTCATCTGAGGTGACCTCATCAACCAAGACATCTGAGGGACTTTACTAACTTTACATTTTCACACCGTGTTAATCTTCAGATTCCACTTTGTCTCTGTTTTCATTCATATTGTTTTATTCATATTGGCTCCTCTGCTGGAACAGCTTTCATTTCATCATGTGGAGAGGAGAAGTGAGTTTCCTGCCTCAGAGCAGCTTCCTGTCCACAGGTTCTCCAGCAGAATAAACAGTGTTTAGAGAAGGAGCAGAGGAAGCACGAGGTGTCAACAGGAAGAGAGGGCAGAGCTGATTCACGCTGCTGCAGCTGTAACTTTAGATTTATTTTACATGTTGATTTAGTGCTGTACAGGACTGATAAGCAGGCTTCCTACATGCCTGTGCTGATTTCAGTTCATGGTTATTTAATGTCATGTTTCACAACTCTGTGAGAAAAGCACTTACAGCTCTGAGACGTGTGTTTGACAGGTGGAAGTAAAACTGTAATGTGCTTCATATCTGATCACATTTATATTAAAATAATCTCTCACCACAGGAGCCACAGGAAACCTTCAACACACTCAATATGTTAAAGCTGCATTCACTCATTTCAGGCCACTTGGGGGCAGAAGAGACGAACTGTCAACATCAGAATATTGCCATCTTATAAAGTAGCTGTATTTAACCTGCTGGTTCTCAGCACAGTGTCTCTTTGAGCTCTGTGTTCGGTCTCCAGCAGCTGCTCTCAGATAGAGGACAGTGGCTTTAACAGCTGAGAACAGCCAGCTAGCTAACGTTAGCATTATCACCTGTGCAAATGTTTGAGTTCAGCATCAAACCTCATTCCTTTACTCACCAAGAGCCAATGTTATCTCTTGTTTTGCTTCTATTTCTATCACTTCTTTTCTTCTACTGAAGTTAGCATGCTAACCAGCTAGCCCCTGTCCAGCCGGCCCGTCACTTTCCGATACTGAGTCACTGTAGCACCCAGTGTGCTCTGAGACGTAGCTGCTCAGAGGACGTATTATAACCTCTTGTGTTGTAAATGCAACAATGGCAGAATCTCTTGGTGAGACTGGTGAGTAAACAGCAGTTAATGCTAACGTTAGCTATGTAGCAATAGAAAACTTACCAATAGCTAGTTTTTCTTGGTCTGATTCGAGGGTTTGAGGACACAGGGTCCGAATTGTTGAGTCCCTTGAGACATTTGTGTAATTTGTGATGTCGGTCTTTATAAATAAACTCTGACTTGACATTTCCTTCTCTAAAATGTTAGAGCGTGAAGGAGGAAGGTTACCTGTGTGCTGACGTCTTCTCCTGGTTACACCTGTGCAGCCTTTTCTATTTTCTACTGACCCTGAACTGGAGGTGGACGCAGCAGTGCAGAGCGGTACCTGTGAAGTCTGGGTTGAGCAGGTCTTTCCTGGCGTGGCACAGCAGAGCGTTGGTGAAGACCAGGTCCAGAGCGCACAGCAGCAGATGGTACGAGTTCACCAGGTCGTCACTGATCATGGGAAAGTTCCCTGATGAGAGAGGGGGAGAAACATGACGCCACATGAGGGAGTCTCTGTGTCTGCAGGCTATGTTGGCACAGCGCTCCACCACAGTGATCCTGCCAAGTCTACACAGGCAGGTCCAGACCACAGTCCTGTGTGTCAGATGCTCTGAGCTGAGGGGATGAAGGAGGATCCTGGCAGCAGAGAGAAGTGAAAGTGTGAACACTTCTTCTCCTCCTCAGTGAAAACCACCGAGGAGCTGCTCAGGATCAGACCACGGTTTGTTCCTCTCTTCACGTTCAAGTCACAGAGTCAATCATCGTACAGAGCAGGCTCCAAAAAAACAAGTTCTCAAGGTTTTTAAGACTCTTTAAATGTTCTGTCTGCTGCGACATTAACAAGGTTTGTAACACGTCTCTCAGACTGTGACTGTCTTCATTCAGTTTGCACAACATGAGCCACAATTAAAAATCTTAATTGCATGAGAATATTTTCATGTTTGTTTCCTGTATTTTATATTTTCAGACAAAATAACGTGTTAATATGTTGTTTGTCTTCTGTCAGATGTTTCACTGTGTGACTGTGATGACATGAGAGGAACAAGCTGCAGCTGCTGAGGCTGAACTGTCAGAATAAACCCTGAAATAAGATGAGAGTTTCAACAGCTCTGACTCACTCAAAGATAAATCTGTCAGTTCAATCGTCCTGTAGTTTCATAATTACAGCTAAAATATAACGTGTCAGTGGAAATCCCTGATCCAGATCCTCCTGATCCAGACCTGTCAGCGTGCAGTTGTCCAAGTAACGCCAGAGGAAACACAATCATCTCTTATAAAGGCCTGAAAGTGACTGGCAGCAGGATTTGACATGAAGTCGTCCAGCTGATCACAACGAGTCTGGACTTGGTCCCAGAGGAGACCAGAGACCACACACTGAGATCTGATCCCTGAGGGTTTCTCCTGTTTCCACTGACACAGCTCCACTGTGGGAGGAGGAAACATCAGTTTCAGTCTTGGACTGACGGATGCATTTACACCTTTTCAACATCTGGAGAGAACGAGTCCCAGACCAGCCCAGAGGTGGACTGAACCGATCTCAGTCCTTCAGTGCACACAGCGTGGGCGTGTCAGCACTTTACAGCAGACACGGAAACTGTGAATCTATCCATTATAGTCAGGTTGTGTTTCCATATAAAATAGGACCTGGACCTGGACCTGGACCTGGACCTGGACCTGAACCTGGACCTGACGTGGACCTAAACCTGGACATGGACCTGGACCTGAACTAACCCAGACCTGACCTGACCTGGACCTGACCTGGACCTGGGCCTGGACCTGGACCTGGACCTGAACTGACCTGACCTGACCTGACCTGGACCTGGACCTGGACCTGGACCTGGACCTGGACCTGGACCTGAACCTGGACCTGGACCTGGACCTGTGTGTGAGCAGCTGCTCGACTCTGAGTGGAGAAATGAATGTTCACCTTTAGCGTGGACAAACAGAACCCAGCAGAAGTTGAAGACCTCAGTCACGGTGCAGGGGTGGCGTCTGGAGAACAAAGACATGAGGGACACCGTCAGCCTGGACTGAAGACATGCTGATGTCTTATAGAGACAGACAGATTAACACAAAGACACCTGGAGGCTCAGAAACCCTCCAGCACAGGGCCAGGATTTCTGTCTCTGAGGGTTTAAAGTTATTTGTCACATTCTGGTGAGGTCAGAGGTCACGGTGTTTCACCTCTGTTTGCGGCTGCGGTGGACTCGGGGGGGCTCCTCAGACGGCGCCTTGAAGATGGCCTTGAAGATGGGAACGTACTTCTTGAAGATGACGGCCGACACGGTGAAGTTCCTCTCCAGCTTCTCGGTGCTCTGACGGAAGTCCTGAGGCAGGTCGGCCATGTCCTGCCACTTCTTCATCTTGTTGAAGAACTCGATCAGGCTGCAGGAGGAAGAGCGGGAAATCAACAGTCAGGGAGATGCTGCTGAGCACAATAGACCATTGAACATCTGGAGCTGGTGGACACAGCAGGGTCTGAGATGGATGTCAGGGTTCTGGTTTTGCAGAATTCAATATTTTTATTATTAGTCTGATGTCGTGTAAATGAACAAAACACCACCTGAAACATTAACCCCAGTTTCACCAGATCGGGATGTCTCTGACATGATATCAGCTGACGCTCTCATTTTGAGTTCAACTAGGTTCTTCAGTGTGAACTGATGTAAACTGGTGCAGGTTTCTGTGCTTCAGAGGAAATAAGGAGTTGTCTTCATGTATTTATATATTCATGAAATGTGTGTCAGTCTTGACTGAAATGTCCCTGGAAATATTTTTTTCTCTGAGGTCATGAGAGGTGGCGCAGACAGTCCTTCAGGTGGGTGCACAGATGCATTATGGGAGTACCTCATTTCTGAGCAGCGTAGGATTCTGGTCAGAGAGACGTAGTTCCCCTCAACGGTGCCTTTCCCCACCGTGGGCACCGAGGACCTGCAGGCCACGTACAGAGCACAGGCCAGCCAGTGCAGCTCACTGCCCTGCACCAGGAGAGAGGAGGCATTCAGAACAAAGGGGGGGGGGATAAGTGAGGGGGGGGCACAGAGCGCGGAGGAAATGGAGAAAGTGGAGGAGGAGGAGATAGAAGTGTGGTGGAGACAGGAAGAGAAAGAAAAGGAGAGAGACACAAAGATTATGACAAACAAACACAACAAACACCTTCTCATTCACAAACACTGTGAAACCTGTGTGCTGAACATATTCAAGCTGCAACTACTAATCATTTTCATTATTGATTACTCTGCTAATTATCATCCATTAAGTGTTTGATCTCTAAAATGTAATTCATGTCATGAAAACAGTGACAAGTGTTGTAATATCTGACATTTGTCCTTCAAAAAATGATTAAAACAATTAATGGATTATGATGCTGCTGATCAACCTAACTTTGATCAACTAATCAATTAATCAACTCACTGTTACAGCTCTAGAATATATATATTATTTCACCTTCAGTGTGTGTATTAATGGGTTGACAGAAGAAATTATTCAGATCCTTAAAGTAAAAGTATCGATGCTGTGATGTAGAAGTATTGAGGTATTAACTATAAAGTTAAAGTACTCACGATGCAGAGTGTTATACTGTTATATTTCAATATTATTGGATTATTACTACTGACATATTAATGTGTAAGCTGCACTGTGTTGTTGTCAAGGAAGGAATTAAGACTCTTTAATTAAATAAACTAAGTAATTCACAGTGATGGGGGCTAACTAGTTACATGTTCATTAAATTACAAAATAAAAAACTAATCTGCTACAGAGAAAATCATTGTAATTCAATGACAGTTAATAATCACAAGAGGTTGAATCTGAATATATTGTTTTCAGTAATACACTGATATGTAGAATATAACTGATTCTGCTGCTTTGCATCTTTTAACAGGAACTTCTTCTGTTGGTGTATCTGTGGGGTCGGACAGGTGACAGGTGTGAGCTCTAATAACACTCACTTCAGTCAGCAGTGTATTTTCATTATTTTCTTTTTTTAAATTATTCATTATGTCATGTATCCTTTTATTAGTATTCCATCTCATTTTACATCAATGTTTTAACTTGTTTTTATGTTTATTTTATTTTCATGTAAAGCTCTTTGTGCTACATTTCTTATTCAAATGAAGTTTATTATCATTATTATTAACATTAAATATGAACCTAGAGCGGGCACCAGCCAACTAAATGAATGGGACTGAAAAGTAATCAAATGTAATAATTAACATTACGTTGTTGAGGTTTTTAGCAGGTTAATTAGTATCTTTAACCTATTACATTTTAAATCTAACCTTCCCAACACTGATAATACCACACTATAAAAGATACTTCATTACAATTAAAAGTATTACTTACAAGGTGTACTTAAAGTATCAAAAGTAAAAATACTTATAATACAAACAAACTTTATTTTCATAGGCCAGACCCTGAGCATCTTATTCTATGAACTGATCATATGTTTAGTCTTTATCTGCACAGTTTCCACAGCTGTTTGATAAATGTAGTGAAATGATATTTAATAATATTTTAGTTTAAAGCCGTGGTTCAGTAGAGCACCTGAGTGGATGCAGTCAGGTGCTCCTCACCACAGTGCGGAGGGATTTCAGGCAGAGGACGGACTATAAATAACCTGAGGTTTATTTAATAAGCAGGTTCTGTCATTAATCATCAGTCTGGTGTATTAAGTTACAGTGAGACCATGTCAGAGCCCCTCCCCCCTCTGTGGCTGCAGCTGCTCATCATCATCATCATCACCATCATCATTGTTGTTGTTGTTGTTGTTGTCATCGTGTAATGTGACAACAGTTACTAACAGCAGACATGTATGTGTGTACATTAGGTTAGCATGTCACTGAGCTGGTTGTAGGAGGCTAACCGTCATATTTACAGCCGCCATGTTGAACGATATAAAACCTCAGTCTATTATTTTCTATTCATGTGTCTATTCTGCTGTGCCGTTAAAACGACAGAGAGCGGGTAACGGTCCAGTATAAGTTAGCATAGTCAGTGGGTTAACCTAGCTAGCACTAACGTATCGGGGAGCAGGCACCCGGGCTAAGCGGGAGCGGTAACGGGTACAGTAGCGGGGACAGTAACCGGCTGTAACGGGAGAGTTTGTATTCTCACCTCCAGTGTAAAGTTCCTGCTGATGTTCTCGTAGGTCTTCCACGCCTCGGTGCTCGCCTCCTCGTCCATATTCAGAGCCCGACACAGATCCTCAAACCCGGCTCGGGCTTTCTGCAAAAACTCGTCCTCGTCGCTCATTTTGCAGCTTCACGAACAAACCTAGCGAACAAAACGCGGGAACACCGGGTGGAGAGAGACACCGACTGGAGAAACAGACGCTGTTTACGCAGCTGGCTAACAAAATATCACCGTAGCAGTGTTATTACGGTGCTGTACGGTACACGGCTCTGTACAGTGTGGCCATTTAAATGTCCTTTGACTGACAGCTAGTATTCTGCGTAAACGCCTCGTACGTACGGAGACACAGTGAGACGTCACTTCTGTACGTATCATAGTTAGCGAATACGAGAATGAGCGTAACTCACCCCAGCCCACTAAACGTGCGTAGCTGAGCGTGAATGGGTGGGTCCGCCGTCACTCCAACCACTACTACTTCCGGTTGTTTTTGTTTTCAGTTGTCCTCCCGATTCAACAGGAAGTCCGTCTGATAAACCGTTAAATCTCTTAAATCGTGTTTTTTTAACCTACGATTATGGAAACGTCGTTAGTACAACTTTTTAAACATCTTTAGTTTATATTAATCCCTGTTCCCGCCGAGAAATCAGCCTCACAGACACAAAACTTGGCTGTGATCTCTTCACACACTAAACCATAATGAAACCGAGGGTTAGTTGTTAAACCAGCGGTGGGATAAGCATTCAGATCCTTCACTTAACTGAAAACACCAATATCACAATGTAAAAATATCCCATTAAAAGTAAAATTCTGCACTTTCTAATTAAGTTAAAGCACAATGTATTATCAGTTAATTTACTAAAAGTATTTGTGAGCTGAGCATTGGTGAACATGAACATGTAACCGCACCGATGAATCTTTTTTTCTCCAACAGAAACTGATGAGAGAGGTCACCTATGAGACCACCTGCCAGGATGTGTGTTTGTTTTAATCCTCAGCATTAGATTATTGTTTCCACTCTGTTTAAGTTATCTGATATGTTGAGTATTTAGATTTTTAATCATGTAATTTTGTTTAGACTGGCTGTCAGTGCTTGTTTGTTTGTTTGTTTGTCTGGACGCTGTTTGTGCATGGATGATTTTATGTGGACCCCAGGAAGATTAACAACCTCTCAGGAGAAAAATCCTCCTCTGATTCTGCAGACAGAGCACAGGTAAGTGTGTTCTCACCTGATCGGTCAACAAGTCAAAGTAAACTGAACAGGATGACTGTGGCCACTGTCTGTCCTCAGAACAGTAGTAAAGTTACCAGTTCTACACCTGATGTGTTATAACTGAATAGTATGAACAGGTAAACCATGTGAGAAGTTTAGAGGTGAAATGTCTCTTTAGTGGAACTGACACCAACTCACCTGACCTGATTTGATCGAAGATGTCACAAGGTCAAAAGGTTGAGAACATGTATTTGAAAACCTCAAGTGTTTTTATGTAAAATTTAAATACAAAAGTATCAGGTAAATGTAGTGCAGTAAAAATACAATATTATCACTTTAAATGTTCAGGTGTCACCACCTCCTTCCTGATGATGATGATGATGTTATTCTCCTTCTTCAGGTGGCTGCTCTTACAGCTGATGAATTCAGAGGTAACAGTCAGCTGATAACCAGCCTCATTTAATCTGGATCACAGACTCAGTGAAGACAGGAACCAGAGACTCAGAAGAATCTGGACTTGGTGGTTCAGGTCTCAGGTCTGTAAACAAACAACATGTGGTTCAGACTCGGAGCTGCAGCTGTGACAACTCTCCGTCTTGGTGTTTGTGTCTGTGACACCTGTGCAGGTGTTCCTGGAGTCAGTACTGCAGTATAGTCAACAGGTTATAGGTGATGGTGTCTCTGATGACCTCGGCGGTGCAGTACGTGTCTCCCTCACTCGACTCTGTGTCAGGCTGTCTTAGATAACTCTCAGAAGGAGCCATGTCAATGTTCCACTCAGGGAGGAAACTGTCCCCTCTGACTTCACAGATGTTGTGCAGGACGCAGCACGCCGCCACCACTCTGGGCATCATGGAGATGTCGATGTCGCTCTTCTTCAGCAGACACCTCCAGCGTCCTTTCAGCCGCGTGAAGGCGGCGTCCACCACGGAGCGGGCTGAGGTCAGGGTGTAGGTGAAGCGCCGGCGCTCAGGAGACAGCTGCTGCTCCTCGCTGTAGCCCTTCATCAGCCAGGGCTTCAGAGGGAACGAGGTGTCGCCAATCAGGTGGACGGGGATCTCCACCCCCTCAGACAGAAGTGACCTCTGGAAAACACACCCCAGTTTTAACTTTACATGGTTCCCCAGCAACCTCCCAGTTGTTTTTATTTTGTGTCACCAATAAAAAGATAAAATAATAATAATAATAATAATAATAATAATAATAATAATAAACAAAAACAAACAAACAACCAACCAAAAAAACTTTACATGGTTCTACATCCACCTGTAAACCATGACAGGGTTTTATACAGGCGGGCCCCCTCACCTGTCCTACATATCCCGTCTTACAGACACACCTCAAACATCAGCTTAAGTCACACCACGTCTGTGATCACCTTTAACTCAGTATTCTTACAGTCTTTCCTCTGATAAACTGAGACTGGTAACACCCCTGCTCACCTGTGTGTCACCTGTCCGTGTTCTCCGCGTCACGGTGCTGTGATGAGGACACTCACCTCTCTGGGGAACAGGTAACCGTCTGGGCGGTCCTCTGCCTTCAGGTACAGGTCTGAGCTGGACAGCACCGCGGCGCTGCTGCTGCTCCCGGGCCAGCCGGCGTACACATCAGTGAAGCTGTGAGGGACGAACAGACACCTGTTGACCGGAAGTTAGTTTACTTTAAATCGAACTCGGTACTGGACTCGGTCCTTACCAGAGGTTGTGGTCCACCACCGCCTGCAGGATGACGGAGTGCCACCCGCTCTTGTTGAGGTAGTGGTCGGGGTTATCCCTCGGAGGAGCGATGGGGATGTGAGTCCCGCCGATGGCCCCCGCACACTGCGGGTAGCAGCGGTCCTTGAAGGCCTGGAGGGTGTCGTCCAGCCGCGGGCCGCTCGGCAGCGACACGAAGCGGTGAAACAGCCGCTCCACGATGGCGGAGGACACCTGACGCACAATCATACACACCGTGGCGATTCCCACGTCGAACATATCGGCGATGGAGCGGTACTCCCCGGACCGCGCGAACCACCACAGGGTGATGGCCAGCCTGCGGCGCGGCTCGATGGGGACGCGGTAGTTTGTCCGGCGACGTTTGATAGCCGGGCCGATCAGGTCGAGCAGGTAGTCGAACGTCACTCGGGACACGCGAAACTGCGCCTTCCACTCCTCGTCGTCGAAAGCTTCGGCCGTGGCCCAGAGGTTCTGACCCGGCCTCCGGGCTCGGACCCAGACCAGTCTGCTGGTGGTGGAGAGGAGGCTGAGCGCGGCCGCGATGGAGGACAGCAGGAAGGCTCTCCTTCTCCGCAGGTACTGCCGCCGCCGCCACTCCCGCTCCATCATTTCCCGCCGCCGCCGCCGCCTCAAGGCGGCGGTTTGGAGCCGGTACAGCTCGAACATCTGGTGACCGAACCCCGGAGGAACCCCGAGGCTGAGGAGGGAGCAGAGCAACGCGGCTGTTGGGGCCGGGTCATCCCCGGGGTTCGGCTCCATCTTTGACCGCCGGTAAACAAACTGCACGTCGCTTTCTTCTTCTGGATTTCCGGCTGGTTTCCGGTAGACAGACTGCTACGGCTCATTACTGCCCCCACAGGCAGGGATTAGATTCCAACTCAGAGGATGTAACTGTCCTGATGAATTCAATCACTGCTGTCAGTCATTTCAGAGTCATCGTTTGAATAGAGTTTGAGTATTAAAGGAAAAATTAATCATTTAACTTCAGATGCACTTTTATATTATCTATATCAAATATCTACTACGGTGTGTTAGGGCCACACTGAGGAAAAAAACCTGAAATATCGAGAATAAAGTCATAATTTTACAAGAAAAAAAGTCATAATATTATGAAAATTAAGTTGTAATCTTACAGGAAAAAATCCTAATGTTATGAGAATAAAGTTGTAATTTTACAAGAAAAAAAAGTCATAATATTATTACTTTTTTCTCTTCTATATATCTGTCCTGTGGCTGTGTACCTGTGTTCATCGATGTGTGTTGTTAATGAAGAAAATAAATGGAGTCTTTTAATGAACTGGCTAAAAGAAACAGGTGCAGCAGGCTGAGAGTTTTGTTCTCTTTCCTGTTTCTTTTCCCCCGCCAACTACTGCTCCACGCTCTAGTCCACAAGATGGCGGCAAGCGCCTGTAAGCTGGTGCTCAAACTGCCAATAAGACCGGAAGAGCAACAACAGCACGCCTGTTTTTTTAGTGTGGCTATGGTTATTATGACTTTAGTGTGGGGACACAGTGGAGGGACGGAAATATGTATATTCATTTTTTTGAAAGCGATTGGATCAACAACATTGTAATGGAGAAGTTAAACCAGAAGGAGGCGGCAATGTCTCAAAATGGATGCCGACTGTCGTAAAAACCGGAAGTAGACGAAGAAGAGCACACCTGCGTAGTCCGTTTGGATGGCGGGAGTTACAACAGTCTTTCTATTAAAACTCAAACATGTATGAAGAGAGTTTCTATAAAGCATCCGTGTTGAAACAGGACTGAGAGCTGAGGAAGGTCAGGACTCACGAAGAAGAAACCTTCTGACTCAGGTGAGAGTGTGTGTCATAAACAATCAGTTAGACTCAAGATACCTGAGACTGATCAGTTAACTTATCACAGAACATCAAGAGAACGACATGTGAAGCTGTTGATGTTATATAAATCAAAGAAGATTTATGGGTTCATGAATTGTGATGAAGTATTTTAAACTACCTGTGTGGTTTATTTGTCCGTCATCAATGATGAAGTTCAGCTCAGGTTCCTTCATCTCTCTGGATCATCTCTGAGATGTTTGTTGGAGTCCCGTGGTAAACTCAGCTGATTGGACACACACCTGTTTATAAGGTTATATAGACACACACCTGTCACCTGCAGAGACAGGATTGTGTCAGGCTCAGTGACCTCCATCATTCTGATATGAAGAAGTCTGGAACCAGGACTCTCCTGGAGTGAGGGACAATGACTCTGAATGTCCCTGAGTTGCCCAGCCAGAGGCCTGACTTGAACCCAATCCAACATCTGGAGAGACCTGAAAACATCTGTCCACTGACGCCCACATCAACCAGACAGTGTGAGAGGAT